CGAAATATTACCATCCGGATGTATGAGGATGTTCTGCTCATTTAGATCATCATGGCACAGAACACAGCGTCGCAGACTCGGCGAAGAAGTCGACTGCATGATAGACACAGCTTGTGCCTCCAACAGGGAAAGAAGGCTGTCCTGACGTGCCCTCTCGTCGATGGACAGCGCTTGGAGGTCAAGCCATTGTCGCTTGCTCTTGAACAGGAAAGTCGTGTATTCTTCGAGCGAGGAGAATATCTCGTGACAGACAACGGTGGCTTGAACGTGTATGATTGGTAGGGCGGTCAGAGAATTGCCGTCGTCCACGGACAGAGTGCCTCCAATCACTTGGGGAACCTCGATGTCGAATAGTTGTAAGCAGATGTCTGCGTAGCTTAAGATACATCTTTCCTATAATGCCGAGCGCGACTTCAACGAAGGCCATCGATGACACAAAATAAGTACCTTTGCATCAGTATGAAGCAGTCCGAATCCGTTCATGAGAGTGGTACCCGGCATGAGCTGCATCACGATGAAATTGAACGGCTCAGCCTCAGAGGCAGAATGAACAGCATAAATATCCGGTACAGGAATGGTTGAGACGCGTCGCAGAAATCGCATAATGCCGATTTCGCCAGTAGATCGCTGCATTTTCCGCTCCTTGTCTCTGTCGTCCTTGAAAGGGCGACTGACACGCAAAATGACTTGCGCGCCGTCAGACAAGCGCGCGTCTAAAATCTAGTAAACTCAGGAGTCGGTTCACGAACACCAATGTGAAGACGCCAAGCTCACAGTATTTAGGCCTACCGCGCGCGTGCGTATAGCGACAATCGTTTGGTCGAGACAGCTTTCTACGATTGAAAGCACATTTCCCTGATGTGAATCCACATGTAGGTCCGCTTGAACCCATCCTTCTATCGATTCTGGAACGCCTTCGAGACGGACCATAACGCCCTCACGGTCCCAGTACGGTACAAGAGCATGTTTGGAGTCGGACATAGTTGAAGGAGGCAAGGCCGCTTAGACCGCCCTGTTTAATTATTGATGGGCGTGCCTGGATGGGGTGCGTTACTTCGGGTATTCTGCTGTGCAGTGTGAGCTCTCCAAGTGGTTTTTGACGCGAGCGGACCTTTTGAGCTATCTCCATCTCGATGATCGTAAAGCATACTCAAATTTAGGCCTCGTGCAGTTTTCGAAATCATGTAGGTATAGCTCAAGCGCTGAATAACGAAGACAGTGACAAAGGCATGATTCGTTTGCGTTTGCGGTTCAGCTAGAACTCACCCGGGTTGTCGGAAGACGCGAGGACGACTTGTTGGAATTTCCATGTGGCGCATGACGTTCGGCTGCCACTGAACAAGGAAGTTGCAATGAAACGCTTTCTGTACGAACAAGAAGGTTGATACATGGGAATGGACTATGAGGCCTCACCCGATTCGCTACACGTTTACTATGGATAAACTCAAGCGCCTGCTCAGCCTTTGTAAGCATTTAGAAGTCGACGACGAATACGAAAGCTTGCCTCGAGCGCCTGCAGGAACATGTCCATGTGGGATGTCGTATTGGGAGTGCTGTTGAGGGAATGTATCGAGATCATCCATCTCAGCCTCGTCTGCACTGGATCGCGTAGCTTCGAGCTGCAAATACCTACCCAAAGATCCGTCATCATCAAGAAAGGCAGTGTTGCCAACGTCCACATCGCCCTCGTTGACGGTATCCGCGCTTGCCGCCAAACTGAGAGGATCTACAGAACATGGATTCAGCTTTTCTATCCACATTCGAGTATAGAAACAGCTACCAGGCTATCAACGACGCAACGTACTGCTCCGGAAGGCGTTCAGTGAGCTCGCCAGATCTCTGCAAATCATCTCCTTCCCAAAATACTACTTTCCCATCTGGGCTGAATCCAAACCTGATGTTTCTTTCAAGAGCTCGATCGTTGAAAAAATGACGACGTTGAACCATCAGAACTTCTCTATTACTGAGGGTGGGGTGCAGGTGAGAATATCGCTCGTGAAAACGTATTGCCCGAAACATGTGGGTTTCAGGTGCCGCTGAGGTTACACGTTAGAGAGAACAATTGACTGCAACGCAAACATACGATCAACATCCATTTGGAACATGCCTAGAAGAGCGGCAACACAGGAGGTCTCCAGGCAGGCCCTAGCTTCCGGACAGATACACGTATCGACAGGAAGGATGGGCAGGTTTCTGGAACACGGGTCCATAGTAGCTCGGGAGAAATCAACAACGAAGCACTGTGGTTCAGGACCAGTGTCACTGTTGTCCAGACGAAAGAGGAGGTGATGCATCTCATAGCGATTTGTTATGCGACCATGATAAATGTTGTGATCGTGGAGTCGTTCAACTGTACGACCGGCTAGTCTCCTACATAACCAAATGAACAAAGAGGCAAATCATTAGAGGAATCCAAAGATACCTGAGCGTGTCTGTGATACCCTTCACCTTGGAAATTTCCTCCCACGGAACTCCTACCCATTCCGTAATACTGCACATAATCATACCACCCCATTCGCCCGTTTGCGCGCGCCACACTCCATAATGCCGTGGCACCAACACACCTGCAACCTCCTTTAGATGCTGCGCATAGAATCTCGCATCCGCGAGCATATAATCGATGGCCTTGTAGCAGTCCTCGTCCGCCTTGACCTTGTCGATGTTAAACAACAGCTTGACACAAAATCTCTTCTGCGCGTCTCCGACACCATAATATCCACGGAAGAATATCGCGGATTCGGTATCGGTGCCATTCCCCCACATAAGGGCATCTTTGAAAGAGCGTTTCATAGCCCGCCCGCGTAATTGTTCAGAAGTGGCAAATCCGGTAAGAGCAAGAGAGGTTCCGGAGTGGTGGACGGGAAAGGTTCGAACATCTCGTCGAATTGGCCCTCCATGCAGTCATGCTCGAAGGCGTAGAGTCTGTACTTTTTCTTAAGGCCGACAAAACCTAGCCACATAGTAGAGGGAGTCATGGTGGTAGTGATGATGGCGTTCCAACTTGAACCGATCATTTGTGGTGCGAGTTCATCACGTGTTCGCCATCGAAGAGTAATTATTCGGAATTAAGCTCCCTTTTCCCCCGGAGTCCGGACAGGCGCTGCAGATTGGTCTTGAGCAAAATCGTGCAGGTAGAACTAAAGCGGACAGTTCAATTTGCTCAAGCGTCCTCGAGGCTCGCCACCGGGTCCAGGCGCCTGGCGGGCCGCGCGGCGCGGCCCAGACCCTGCCAGACATAGAACATATATTAAAGAACCTTCGCGCTTGAAGCTGCCTAAAGTGAAACTCCCGAAGTCAGCTGTTTACCCTCCTGTCCTTCGTTACATCATTGTCTCGCACCGTACACGTGTCATCCGTTTTGAATCAGCAATAGCGTTTAACTGCTCACAGGTTTCGAAGGTGGCGGGGCAACAGGCCCCGGGAAGCTCCCCTAGACCGCCGGCCAGCCTCAGAGCCTCAAATATTCAATTTTTTGGCTCTCAGAGGGCCTCAAATATTCAAAAATGGCCGGGGGTGTCACACATCGTCACGTCTGTCACGCACCTTGAAAAATCGCTTCTAGGCGGCGTTGTAGGTCATTTCATCGCCACAAAACCTAATCTATCTTGCGACGCGTGTGTTCTGGAAGCGCGAGTCGTGCAGTCATTAGTCGTGGTCTGATGAAAACTTCCAAAATGAAAGCCAGCCCGATGGCATGACTCATATCGCCGTAGAATAGGGTAGTGGAAACAACCTAGGTTAGCATACCGAGAGGTTGTTTCCCGGTAAATTACCAGTTATTTACCGGTTTGTAACCTAAGGCTGTTGGAGGTAGGTTATTTACCTGCACGTGACATATCCACGTGATGTGTGGCGCACGGAAAAAGGTAGTCCGCACTATATTCAGAGGCAAAATTACTATTCTTGCCTTTGAAATCTATTTGGCTCTAATGGGTCCAAGGCAGTGTGACATCCAGAGGGGAAAGACTGAAAACACTTGAGGGCTGCTGCCGGCACTGGCCCGCGGAGACGTCACGTGACAATGTCACGTGCAGGTAAATAACCGTTTTTAATCGGTAAATAACCTGGACCTCTGGAAGGGTAGGTAAATAACAGTTATTTACCACCCCCCGAGGTTATTTCCACGACCCTACCGTAGAATGGAGCATGGCGATTCGAACCTACGAGCGAGAAAATAAAAACAGAAGACACGGTCCAGATCAACCACTAGACCATGATACTGTGTGAAGTTGTGCTTGGGGTCTTTGTCCTCATGTAAAATATTCAAATTGTGGCTGGACTTCTGGCTGCCAGAGCCTCAAATATTCAATTTTTGGCCGTGATTTTTGCTCATTTTGGCCCTCAAATATTCAATTTTTCGCCGGCGGTCTAGGGGAGCTTCCCGGGGCCTGGGGCAACGGTCTTCTAGTCAGCCCACGCAGGGAAGATGCCCAGGGACAAGGGAAAGAGGAAGAAAGAGAAAGATCGCGATTGGGATAGGTAAATAGCACAAGCGCCACACAGAGACAATCCGTGGACTACTACAGATCTATGAACTCGCACATTCACCTCGTGCCGGCATTCACTCTGGGATGAGGGAATCAACAACAATTACAGTGCACCCAGGCCACTCGTATCAAAATCAAGCCACGACATATCCAAGTTAAGCGTACGCTCCCCGTCAATACAGTATAATCCCTTGCATGCGGGAATGATGGCATTCTCTTCGGCGAGTGGTTTGCTGCGGTACATGCCTCACAGTGTGAGCAATTCACGATTCAGACGAAAACAAGACACATTTTTAGGCACCACCGATCACCATCACCCTTAAGGAGCCGCCCTCATTACGCCACCATGGCCAATGTTCATTGACGTCAAGCCAAATCCATCCTGCTTTGTCTTCCTATGACAGTACGAAATACAAGTATCTCGTACCATTGCCCAGACGAAGCGAAGCGAAGTCAATAGCTTGTTTAAACAATGCAAACGGTAAAAAGGTTTACTACATGCGCATAGATAAACACGACTGGCCTGAGTCGAACAGACATTCAAGACAAATGTGAATTGTGATGTGCTTTACCGCTAAGCTACAGTCGTTGGACTTTAAGCGCGTATTGAACATATATTAAAGAAACTTGGCGCGCTGCTTTGAAACTCCCGAAGTTGATCCTCCTATTACTCCTGCAGCAGCAATAGTGGCGCTCTGGTCACTAAGCCCGACCGAGTCAGCCCAACGGTTTAATTATAACACTTGACTCCTCTAAACCTGTGCGATGCTGTAGTACCCCTAACGCCGCTTCCCTCATCCACCACCATGAGCTTTTTCGACATGTTCGGCGCGCACCCTGTAGCGTACGACGGCGCCCAGCAACACTATGAGGCCGTTTATCACGGCGGAGAACGTCACCACGAGGGCAGCTTCACTCATGAAGGTATACTACGTTGGGTTAATCCCGAGGGGGGCGTGGACTGATCAACTCCGCAGCCATCGCCGCCGCCGCCGGCTTCGCCGCTATGCACTCGTACGAGAACCACCTGCGCGCGACCGGTCAGCCCGTCTCGCACGGAAAGATGAAGGTACGCGCGTACTTCATTGCGCCACACTCCGCCACATAGACGCTCCGCTTAGGAAATCCTTGCCGCGATCGCCGCCGCTGAAGTCGACAAGCTCGCGGAGACGAAGGGGATGGACTGGATGGACCGCCGCCGCGCGAAGCAGATGGCAGAGCACCACGCGCACGAGTACGCCGCGCAGCGCTATGGGAGCGGCAACACCGGATGGGACTATGCGCAGCAGCGTGGCGGGCCTGCGATGGAATACAACTTCGCGGGGGGCGGAATGCCCTACTACGGTGCGGTGCCGGGTTATGGGGGATATGCGGCGCCGGGATACCCGCCACCTGGAGGATACGGGTACCCCCCGCAAGGCGGCTATGCTCAGCAGCCTCCTATGGGTTACGCGCCTCCCCCGCCGCAGGGCTTCTACGGTGCTCCGCCAGGCGAGGAGCACCACCGTCACCACCATCATCATCAGGGCTGGTAGAGGTTTATAGCGCACTCGAAAGCACTTTCCACGCTGTTGTTCATAACGATTATGTCTTTATTTTATCCATGAACCATCTCATGTTTCTTCATAACGCGCTTCCCAACACAATCGAGTCCAACCAAGTTTCCTCTCTATCGGTACAGCTGCAGTGAGTATGTATAACTAAGTCTGTATTAAGCTAAAAAAAGTTCTCATGAAAGCCCGCATGATGATCTACATTCTCAAACTCATCGCGTCGCGGTCATCGGCTACCAGCCTGGCGTACTCTAAACATAATCGGTAGACATAGACTACCACCCCATGTCAGCAACAGTAAGACAATCACACATAAAAAAAGACGTACTCTGCATGTCCTCCTTCCTCCCCATGTGTTTCTTCCACTGCTTCCCAGCGCGCGCTATTCGGCGCAATCGATTATCACCGTCTTGCGAAGCGAAATCAGAGGTGGACAGCGTTTCATTCTCCAAACCAGCAGCCTTAATAACCGAAGGCGGAGGACCAGAAAAGTACGAGAAGATATTGTATATCTCCTTGTACGTAGTGGAAAGCGGGATGAAGTGCACCCTGTGAGAGGATGAGCAAATGAAGATGCGAAATAGAAAAGCGTACCAAGGTTGTATCCAATCCGAGAAGTATTCGTCATACACAGTGCTCTTCACGGGTACCGAATCACTAGCCATAAACGCCATGAACCGACCAGAGTATCCCATACCATCGAGGTCCATAAGGTACTTGTACGCCCAATGTCGGCCGAGTGGAACAGCGTCCCCGAACCGATGCTCTCGCGCCAACGCCTCCATCCCTCCAGGGTATGCGTTGGGATTTGTAGCTTTGACAAAGGCGGCATCAATGACGTCCTCGTTGAGTTCCCCGACCGACACTGTCGCAGAAATGTACTGGCTTCCCGATGGATCAAGGAAGGTTACGGTCCTATTCTCCTCGGTGTCTGTGAGTGACGCCATCCTGACGAAGCGATGCCTATGATACTGAGGCGCGAAACCTGGAGGATTGTTCCCGCCACCCGTCGTAGAGCCACGCCAGAACACCTTTTCCTGCTTTTCCTCCCATCGCACCTCCATGTCATCGACATCCCTCAATTCCATATTGACGGGATCCCAGCCATAAGTGTACAGCTTCGTGCTGCCATAATAGTAGTGGCTGGGAATTCGGATATCCATGAAGCCCTTGGCCTTAGCGGGGCTGAAAACGGGGTAGAGAGCAGGTATGGTCCGCCAGTCCGAGAACAGGTGGCCTTGTTGGTAATGCGCATGTGGCTTGGCGCATAGATCGAGATTAGACGATGTACGCGACAGGAACGCAAAATCACTTCCTGGTTTCGGGTAGGCAGAGAATATCGACCGGACCGAGGAGAATAACCGGCGGGCAGGCGACGAAGGATCACATGTGCGCCGTACTGCTTCCCAGACGTTGCCTTCGCCTCTCCAATCCGGATAAAAGGGCCCACCTATGACGGACTCAATACCCTCTGTCAAACTAAGATTAGTAGCGGACAACGGATGTTAATCCGACACCTCACGAGATGAATCCGAATGTGAGAGATTGGCGTATTGCCGCGCTTCCCATGGCACGACGACTCGTCCTTCAGCTTTGGCGTTAATAGGGAGATCCATGTCCGGAAGAAGATGTGCGAATTTTTCGGTCATGCGAGCGAAGCCCTGGGCGCGGGCGCTGACCTCCAAATCTTCAAAGCCCTTTTCGACGTTGACTACAGACACCTTCCCGTCGCGTATCCTGACAAGGTCGATTGACGGAAGAGCGCCAACCTAACGAACGCGTTACTAGGGAGGAGATTAAGAGGTCTGTAGACACGCACCTGCATAGACCGCCTTCTGACTTCCTCTCCAGATAATGCCCAAAACGGCTCCAAATCCTCGGATAGACCATCGTATTCGTCGACCATTACGTGGTTGTTTTTCTGTGCAAACTCCCACCACTGGTCGAAACCCTTTGGCGGCGATCTCTTATATCTCCGCTTGTATTCTGCAGTAGCAGCCTTGAGCGTAGTACTCTGTCGTTCCAATTTTGCCCGAAACTGGGCCTCCGCGTCTTCAATAAGTTGCGGTATTGGATGATGCGTTATGGAAGGTAATATCGAGCTGAAGCCGACCTTGGCGGGAGACTCGGTGTCAGGTTTTGAACGGTATTTAGTTCCCGTGTAGAGGCCGAGGTGCACGAAGAGAATGAAGACACAGAGCATAAAGATATAGCCTCCGTGGCGATTCCAGCCTCCCTGGTGATGTAGGTCATTCCTCATAGTGTTATCGTGGTAGAAACGCGCTCCGTTAGAAAGCGCAGAGGTCCTGTTACTATATTTATTGGGAGTCCTGGGAGGAAGGTCAAACAGAATGCTTGTCTGCAATGTCGTGCACACCTTGAGCGCCGTCCCAGTGAATGAAATGTCGCTAGGCAGCGTAGCTACGCCGCAGTGGTTGTGGTAAAGGAGCGACGGATGTTGGGAAGCGCGACAGCGACGATGGCGGCCACGACGACGAGCAGAGCTGATGGCGGAAATGAAAGCCGCAAGACAGGATACTATTTGGGCCCGTGGGAAAATAGAGGCGTGCCAAATTTAGATTCACTCCTCCGTTTTGCAAGGCCAAGCTAAAGCTACGTGAGCTAGCGAACGGCTAGCGTCAGTGTAAGATAAGGAAAGGAACGTTGTAGATGTTGGTTTAGATTACAGCCGAAATAGATGACATCGCAGTGAGCTGTGAGCTATGAGCTATGACTCTGAGGGCCTGAGATCGTGTGCGTGTCGAGAAGTTTCTTACCTCGCTCTACCAGGTCGTCTTTTCCGTACCCACCCACCTACTCCCTTATGTGTTAGTTTGATTTGTGTGTGAATCTTCCAGCTTGCACCAGAGTTCTCCGCTAGCTGGCCACAACGCAGTCAGCATGTCCGCGTCCGGTTTCCCCTCTCCCTTTCGCTGACTGCACTCTGGCCCGAGTCCTTCACCGCAAGCGGAGACCTCTCCACAAAACCCACAAGATACATTGCATCTTGTGCACTTTCCTTTTTCCTCCCTCCTTTTCTCTTTGACACTCTTTCATCGGGTGCAAGGTATTCACAACTGTGTCAATTGGAGACGTCAAATGTCACGTACGTGCGTATCTCTACCTGGTGTGATCTACGCGGGCTTGAACTTTGCTGTACCGTCAGGACCAATCGAACGCCTCGCTCTCTGCCCTTTCCGCCTCTCGAAGAATCGTTTCTGCCGTACCAGAATCACGAGCAACAAAAAGACACTTGAACGGTGCGGGGCCGATAACGAGACCACTGGAGAATTCATCGGGATTGGGTAGGATCGTTGTCCCGTTTTCGTCGACCGGGGCTTTCACATCAAAGGCCCATAGTATTCTGGGATGAAAGTCTCAATCTCGAATGCGTGTGATAGCTTGAAGTTCTTACCTCACGATAGCGATGAAGTCAGTCTGCAAAGCAACATGCATACCAGGGCACAGACGACGCCCAAATCCAAAAGGAATAGTGAAATTGACCAGCTTGAGATCGCTGGTGTTCAAGAAACGCTCGGGAGAGAACTCTTCTGGTTTAGCGAAGACAGTGTCGTCCTGCGTCATAGAGCTGCGGCGGACGTCAGTAGTCTATACAGGCCAAGCTCGTACAACGCACTAGATGTTCCCGTAAACCGTGCTCCCTTTGGGAATATACATTCCGTTACGGTTATAGGTGTCATCAGCTGTCGCAGCATGGGCAAATCCAGTTGGAGCTAAACAGCGCCATCTGAATGGTGCTAAATCACGCTATCACGACAGACAACATGCATGCACTCACCGGGTAGTCTCTTTTAATAGCGCTCGAACGTAAGGCAGGTCATCCTGATCTTGGAATCCCGGCATGCGCTCGCGACCGATGACAGAATCAATTTCGGCTTGCGCCCTTTTCATGACATCCGGATACAAGAGCATTGCCACTGTGACAAGTTGTCAAAAAGTCCTCCTGGCTTGTAAAAAGAGGGGGAGGACTCACTGAGGAATACTTCAATAGTACTGGCGGTCTGTCGTCGTACAA